CAGTACCGCCGCTCCCTATATGCAGAGTACGCAGTTTGCATAGGCACCAACTCCCAGGGGGGGCACCATCCCAGTTGCTCAAAAAAATAAAAATTGGTGCGTGATTCCCGCATCCGTGCTTGCGACCGCTCGTACCTCATGTTTGCGGCTGAATGCAAATGATCATAATTGATGGACAACTATGCCCGTGAAAAGACATCAGCAATCCAGCGCCGAGATAAGAAAAAAAAAGTGAAAACAAAGCCTGTGCATCATTTTCAGGCACATTCATAATCCTGTGAAACTTTTTTGTCTGTTGACTTTAATAGCGTGTTTTAATGTCGGTAATAATTTCACCACCACAAACGAATCTAATATTCTCTCTGAGTTTCCATGTTCCCTTACGAAAATTAGCCATGGTTTTAACACGAATAAAACCAAAAATCATGGTTCTTGTAGCCATGGTAACCGCAAATTAACCATGGTTTTGTTACTTCAAATAATAATTTACAAATAAGTATTAAGATGATATTTTTTTGTGGTTATAAAAACAGACCTAAGCCAACAATAGCCTTTCAAATGACTTAAAATGCATTATATAAAAACAATGAGGCCATAATGATTGGTTAATTAATAATTATATGGTTTCATTGAATAACACTGTTAAAATACATAATGTAATTGTCACGATTCACACAAGGAGCACGGGAACAAAGGAGTGAGGAGACGAGGAGTAGTGCAAGTCCCAACAGTCTTTAATGACAACCATGCTGGGAACACAGGAAATATGGAGAGACGTTCACAAAATGACATATAACAGCCGACGCTAGAAACAGGGACACACAGGGCTTAAGAAAGGAGTTAAATGAGATAATAAATCAAACACGGCTGGACACAAATAATTACAAATGAGGACAGGAAGAGGAAGAACCAAATAAGGGCATGGAAACACATGGGGAGCAAAACACACACAAAACACGGAACAGAGTCTGACATTACTCCCCCCTCCCAGAAGTCACGTCCCGCGCCATAACAATTCCACCAGGGAGGGGGGGTGGGGGCGGAGCAGGGAGTTCGGGGGGCCTGGCCTCGGCAGGTTTCTGTCTTGGTTTCCAAAAAAAAAAATCTATACCAAATACACTCCAAATGCAATATCAAATACACTCAAATGTTAGGGGTCAGTTAAAAAATTTAATTAGGGCTGTCAAAATTAACGCGTTAATGCGTTAACGCAAACTCATTTTAACGGCACTAATTTTATTAACGCGTGATTAATGCAGCGCACATGTTCTGTTTGACCCGTTGCCTAGCCCGTAGTTGGAGAAATGGAGATCAGTACAGCCGCTCCCTATACGCAGAGTACACAGTTTGCGCAGGAGCCCTCACTGGGCTAAACTCGGGGACTGGCACCCTCTCTCTCTGGGCTAAACTCGGGGACTGGAACCCTCTCAGGGCTAAACTCGGGACCAGGAGCCTACTGTGGGCTAAACTCGGGGACAGGAGCCCTCACTGGGCTAAACTCGGGGACTGGGACCCTCTCTGAGCTAAACTCTGGGACAGGAGCCCACACTGGAGCGAGCTCTGGGGCTAGGATGAGGGCGGAGGACAGTCTTTTTCTCCTCATCCTCCTCCTTTGGTTAGAGGACATCGGCGCGGCTGCCGGGCTTGAGAATGCCGCGGCTGGCGATCTTGACTTCGGAACGGCCGGCGGGCTGGAGAGTGCCGCGGCCGGTGGCCTTGACTTCGGAGCAGCCAGCGGGCTTGAGAATGCCGCAGCCGGCGCGGGTTTGACTTTGGAGCGGCCGGCGAACTTAAGTGAGCAGCGGGCGGCGGGCTGGTTCTGACTCGGGCCCGGACACTCCACAGACACCTTAAGATCCCTGGGAGGTCCACGGGGCGATGGTAGTTGGCATAGAGCCAGAACAGAGAATTGATGGCGAGGCTGCAGAATTCCCAGGCGTACTCAAAGAAGGGGAGATCTTGGCGGGCTAAGGCGGAGAACTGAGCGGCTATTTCCATCGCCGCGGGGAGAAACAAACAGGAAACAAAAAACAGAAAACAAACAAGGGGAGAGGGGACGCCACTTACTGTTCTGAAGTTTCGTAAGACGTAACTCGGGGAAGAATTGTTTAATAAATTATGTTATTTTTGTTTTCTTTGCGCTCAAAAAGTATTCTCGTAGCTTCGCAAAACTGAAGTTGAACCACTGATGTCACATGGACTGTTTTACCGATGTCCTTACAACGTTTCTGGACCTGGGAACATTACAGTTGCACAAAAATGTGCGATTAAGTTGCGATTAATCACAAGTTAACTCATGACAATCATGCGATTAAATATTTGAATCGATTGACAGTCCTAATTTTAATGCATAATTTTTTATGCTCACCAAGGCTGCATTTATTTGATAAAAAAATACAGTAAAAACTGTAATATTGTAAAATATTAGTACAATCAACTGTTTTCTATTTTTATATATTTTCAAATGTAATTTAATCCTGTGATGCAAAGCTGAATTTTCAGCATAATTTCTCCAGTCTTCAGTGTTACATGATCCTTCAGAAATCATTCTGATATGCTGACTTGCTGCTTAAGAACCATTTCTTGTTATCAAATTTGTAAACAGTTGTGTTGCTAAATATTTTTGTGAAAACCATTTTTATTTATTTTTATTTATTTATTTATTTTGAGGAATACAATAGTAAAAATAATCTTTTTTGTAACAATGTAAAAGTCTTTACAGTCACTTTTGGTCAAATTCATATGTCCTTGCTCAATACAAGTATTAATTTCTCTCAATTACTGACCCCAAACTTTTGAGTGGTAGTGTACAATAAAATAGAATTAAACCAAAATATGCTGACAGCAAAATGACAAAATTTTTATGACGCTTAGAGGATTTTTTTTCTTAAATAGGAAAAAAAAGTACTAAAAAGTACTGAGGAAGAAAATTATTTTTTTCATTGTGGTGTCATACTGAACCCACTATAGCCCTGTACTAAAGAATTGAATGATTATCATGTTCATAATCAGTGGTATTTAGAAGGTACAGTGGTACAGGTGCAAATAATAGAATGCTATGATATTCACATGATATGCCAGAGAGGTGTTACTCAGGGCTGTATGAGAAGTATGTCCACTAGGCTCCATAGTCTTATTATGGAATACAGATAATGAAATGTTCATTTTTAGACTCTCACTTGTATCTTTTTATCATCATTCCTCCATGCTTTTTAGCTGTAGATGTGCTGAGATCTCTGTGTGCCCCAAGGTGCTTTCCATTCCAGCGTATGAGTCATAGTTATTCAACACTAACGGATGAGCCAGCTTTCAGAATGAGCCCAGGAGTGAGTTCAAGACGTGATATCATGAGGAATCAAATCAAGAAGTTTCCTTGATCTTGTTGGATAAAAGAGTTTAAAACATAAGGCTTGTTTCTAAACATCTGACATCACATGAACATGTCACCACCCACGTCAACAATGCCTGTTTGTTGTTCAGAAAATTGTTCAGTAAAGATGCAATAATGTGGATGAAGTCGTATAGATGCTGTATATTATTAATGTGGGGAAATGGGGGCGGAAATCTGCTTATTTTTCTAGTTTTAATTTTTCCCTTGGAACACACAACAACACAACTTGGAAACAGTAATATTCATCAGCCTCATGTCAGCCTCAAAATTATATATTTGCATTGTGTGTGTGTGTGTGTGTGTGTGTGTGTGTGAAGAAATATCACATTTGCAACTCAGTGTTAAAAAAATGCTGGGAAATCACTTCATGTAGCCCTACAAGAGTGATTACTGATAAACTGTCTGAAAAAGAAAGTAAGTCACGTTTTAGAGAAGAAAAAAAATCACCCACTAAATTTCAAAGTTGCTACATAGTAACGACTTTATACTTCGAGGACCTTGATAGAAATGTAGTGGAGTGAAAAGTACAACATTCTCTGTATATATATATATATATATATATATATGAAAAATATAAAAATGTATGAAACATCTTAAAACCTAAAAAATAAAAATGTACTTTAAACTATATACAATTCTAAAAATCAAATTCTCCAAATCATCAAAATGTATTATAAAACAATAATAATAAAAATGTTTTTATAATCTTGATTTTGCTTGAAGGGTTGTGAGAGTCGATATCTAAAATAGAGGCATTTAAAGCCAACCCGAGAGGGTTTTCAGGGCATTTCTTTTGTGTTTATGAGTTCTGGAAACTGAATAAAATTATAAATATATATATATATATATATTAGTGGTGTCAAAGTAAGCGCGTTAATGCAGGCGATTCATTTTTTTTTTCAGTTTAACGCGTTAAAAATATTTACCGCAATTAACGCAGAGGCGGGGCTAGGGTTGGCCACCCCACTCAAAACTGCTGCTTCTGTCACTTTTTCTCTTAACAAGAAGTGCATTTAATCAGTCGCAGAACGCGTGCTCCACTTCACTTCAGCGCCAGGCGTGAGTCAACCGAGTGCTCTTCAATTGCACGCACAAAGGCGTCGGCGCACGCTGTAGCCTGTATCCTTTCATATCAAAGCGCGAAATAAGCTACGTGCATGCAATGTCGTGGTCAGTTAAGTCATGAAGTTACCAAAAAGTTGATTAAAGCTGCCTTAAAACTGCGCATGCATGTAATATATTTTATATGAGTCACATTTAAGAACATGTCTCTGAAATGTTTTTTTATAGAGAATTAAGTATTGGTATCATTGATACTGGCCTTCAGTCATAAAAAAAGATGCCATTAAACAAATATTAAAAAATATACTGTTTTTATGTTGTTTGTTCATTAATTTGAAGATTGAATGTGAAATTATTATATATATATATATATATATATATATATGACTCATATAAAATATATTACATGAATGCACAGTTTTAAGGCAGCTTTAATCGCCTTTTTAGTAACTTCATGACTTAACTGACCACGACATTGCATGCACGTAGTTTATTTCGCGCTTT